AGAAATTCTGAATGTCAAGAATAAGATTTATGTATAAATAAAGACCTTCGTGGCTCGAGTTTCATAAACGCCCGATTTCAAGGTATCGCCTACTCAGAGGTCCCGGTTTCGGATCCCAGTGGGGCAAATGTTTGTGTGATGAATACAAGCATTTGTAACTAAGTCATGTATATCTAAATAAAATCTATCAGTATATAAATATCAATATATATTTCCAACACTCACTCCAATTAGCCTAGCCCCAAAGTAAGCACTGTAAGGCTTGTGTTGTGGGATACTAGGGTAAAGGATATAATACATATATAGAGTCTGTGCGGAAAGAGAATGGGATTTAGATTTGAGGGCGCTGTAGTGCTTTTTTACCGTATTTTTAAGGTTTTACCCTTTTTAGACATGATTAAATACAAAAAACCTCAAGAAATCACAACAAAAAACAAATCCGTATCAATACAAAACTTTGACGTTTTACAGATAGCTGGGTTAAATTGCTTTATAAAAATCTTAATGTTCGTTCCGTTTTTCACCACGCCCATTCTCTTTCCGCACAGACCACGTATATTTATATAGAAATACATATTAAATATCCATGACCTTAGTACAAATACTCGTATTCATCACACAAACATTTGCTTCCACCGAGACTCGAACCCAGGACCTCTCGTGTAAACGACACTTTGAAACCCAGCGTTCATACCACTCGGCCACGGAGGTCGTTAAATATGTATTCTATCCATTATAATAATTTCCCATAACACAAGCTTTACAGTACTTACTTTAAGGACTAGGTTAAATGTCCTACGTGTTATAAATATTATTAATTTACAAGAAAAAACTCTGTTTTTTTTCTAGTAAAAAATAGCTTCAGATTTATAAATAAAGTATTTATTAAAAGTGTTTTTTTTATTAATCTGAAGATGCACAAGCATTAGCTTAAAGTAAAATTAGAATAGAGAAATTGAGAAATTTAAATATTAATTTAATATATTTTCAAACACTCCAATCGTTTGACAAAATACACTTTGAATAATTTTAATAAAGCTTGATTTATTTTATTTTTGAGTACATTATTATTGTAGTCTTTCTCCTTTACAGCTGTAGTCGCCAATCTGTAAATCATCCGCAAAATCAAACGAAACGAAAATGAACGATCTTTTCTATATTAAAATGAGCAAACAAATACATTCATATGAGTTAAAAATCTCAGGTCTTTCAGTTTGAAAAATCTAAATAAGAAACAACTTACTGCAAGCATATTTTTATCCTTCATGGCTTTTATTACATTTTTAGAAATAAAGTCACGTGACATTTATTAATAATGAAGGTTAACGATGCGGGCAAGCACCTACAAAATCTCCGTCATAGCGACATTACTTCAAATTATATTTAATTTAACCTTGGTCGGTAGATTCGCGTCCGCCCAACGAAATCCCGCGAGGCTGCCTCGCCGCATTAATTGCCAGCCAGCGACGACAGCCCATCATCTGATGAAAATGTAAAGCTGAAACTTGGCAAGTGAACAGTTGCTTATTTTGGTTCACACGACACCGGGTAATGCATAATAAAGTTGTTAGTAAGCGCAGCGGCGGTGCCTTGGCTTCCTTCCAAATTACATGTACCGCCAACGATAGCTGTTCGATGATAAACCCCTCTTTTGGGTAGCTAGCTAACACAAGGACCACGCGAGGACATCTACATAATCACGCACTCGCGAGCCAGGATTTAAAACGTATTTGCATATAATAATAAAAACTCACGCCAAGAATTTTAATAAGATTGTGCCGATGATTCTATTTCCAGCAAATCAATCAATATAATTTATTTATTTAAGACTCTTGAACAGCTCAATTAAGTTTCGTCGTAAAATGCCGGTGTTCGCATAAAATAGGCGTATGTAGTATAGTAACTTCTCCATCATCAACTCATGTAATTTAAGTTAATTGATTGTGAATTACCAAACAGTTTGTAAAGTGTATCTGTACCATGTCATCCATATAAACTAATACGTATTTATTTCATAGCAAATTAATCGAAATTTTCTAGAAGTAGAACATACAGTTAAAATAAATAATACCGTAGAAATCTACGCGAATAATTCAAATTATTGCAGCTTTAGCCAAGAGGATAATGGAGCATTACTATACCGAAAGGTGGATTAGTTTTTCATGATTTCCTTGTAGAAATTCAAACTGTTCCAAGTTTAAGAAATCTGACTACTGTTTCATTTTGATTTTAAAAATTGTGTTTGCATTCGTTTCTTATGTTTCTTTTATTAGTAAAGATGTTATATTACTAATATTTTTTAAAACATCCAACTTACAAGTACCTACTTGAGAAAAAACATTACTTTATATCGTATATCATTCAGAATCCAATAATATATTGTGTCGTGAGAGCACGCATGCAGATCGCTCTGCGGCTCGTTTATTTTTGTTGAGCTGAAGTATTAGATTAGAGGGTTCTCGGGCGCGCGAGATTTATAGCACGCAATTTAAATCGTTTCGAGGACCTTTATAACGCAATTGTCGCCAAGTGATGTCATTTTCACGTTCATGAAAGCGGTGGTTTCCCTCTTTTCAGTAGGCACCTACACATGTTATGTTTGCGCACCGTCTGTGGTATTATGTATTCTATATTAAAAACAAATGAAGTACCAAATTAACTTTTGCTTCCTTTTGCGTAATCCTATCTTTACTTTATATAAGTACCTAGTTAAGTAAAGTTTTTATTAATGAAACTGATTTTCAATAAATCAGTCATCTTGTAGTTGTCAAGTTGTGAAAGTTTGAACATGAGTAAACCCACGAGTAAACCTTTTACTTGCTTATTAAAATTAAACACTTAAGTCGGTATTGAAAGCCGGAACCAACCAATTCAGTGTAAATAAAACTTTAGGGCGTCTGTAGCCTAAGTCCTTTCATGAAAAATAGTCTTAATTCGATTTTACGCTTTGCCTCTACTCGTTTCAAAATTGATAGGGACAAAACATACAAATTAAAGCACTGTTTCCGAGCATGTGTAGCTTATTCAACTTTACAAGTCGGAATTCGCGGTGTAATTTGAAATTGGAATGCGAATTCTGCCTGTAAATTAAGAGTTACTCCTCCGACGACCTCCGCGGCCGAGTGGTTTGTACGCCGGGTTTCATGGTGTCGCCGACTAGAGAGATCGGGACCGGGGGCTTGAATCCCGGTGGGGGCAGACGTTAGTGTGATGACTACGAGCATTTATACTCCAGTCATGGATGTTTAATATGTATTTCTATATAAATATACTTATATATGTACAGTATATGTATTCTGTTCGTTACCCTAGCATCCCATAACACAAGCCTTACAGTGCTTACTTTGGGTCTAGGCTAATTGGTGTGAGTGTTGGAAATATTAATTTTTGTTTATCTATTTTTTTATTTTTTATATTTTAATTTCATGAATTAGTCATGCGCTATTTACAAGTAGAAAATACCAATTTTGCCTTCTATTCTACGCCAACAGTATAAAGACACTACTGTATTGTTCACGACTAAATAATTTTCTTTGAAATACTTGATCGTCTCATATGTGAATGAAATAAACTGGCAAGCTTATTCATATGAAACGTCAGAAATTAATTTTATTAATTACTATTAGAACACACGAAAATGTCCTACTTGAGAAGTATAGAACTTAAAGAGTTGAGGAGAGAAAAATACATTAGTTTAAAAAAAAATATATACTACGTCAATTTTTAAAAAAAATTTAAAACGTCCAAAAACGAACATTTTTACTAACGATTTTTTTCTACTCGATCGATTCCTCAAAATTCTTGGTGAATCGAATCACCTGAATTTTTTTCCCCGCTGTGCGCCTTCTGGGAAAGACGGGACAGGCAAGTACTTTTTTTTCGGAGATTGAGAATTGTTGCTAAAGTTTGCGACACAGGTCGATAAATTTTACATGACTCTCTTGGGAGTGGCGTTACCCACATGATAAACTACTTTAGAAATCAAAATGTTTATTATAACATGTTGAATTGTTGCAAACGTAAAACCGACATAATTGCAATTTACTGCTAAACTAACAATCTCACGTTATTTTTTCATAGAACTGATTTTGTAGAGGGCAAGCTAATGAACAACTTTGATTCAAAAAAATTTTCAAAATCCCCGTTTATAAGCAAAAAAACTCAAAATAACCGGTTTTTCTTTGTTTAAACAATTTTCCTGGCTACAAAACACGGGTTCTAGCGGGGACAAATGGAGGGCATATTCGTGGGGGTCTATACTATCTAGGAAAAAATTGGCTAAGCGCTGGTGTCTTAGAATAGGTCTCATGTTTATTCCGACTGGACTACTAGTAACTCATACAAAGGAGAGTTTTTTTGTTTATTGTGTATATTATATGTATAAAATATATAAAGAAGGTCATTGGTGTATAATTATAACGCTATCAGTGATATAAGTTAGAGTGCCTGCCTATATATTAATGTCTATTTATTTGTGTTTAGCATGAATGCTCTTTCTGACGTAGTCCTGAAAAGCTAACAAATTTCACGCCCTGCCTGATCAAAGGGTTACCAAGGGAGCGTTGACGGGACACTTCACCGGCTCACGAATTTCACTTGTGTTCTTATTTTTAGTAATTAGCCCCCTAACAAGCTGCTTTTATTAGGTACAAATGCAAAATTCTCTCGAGAAGTACAGCAAGTTACTTTTTTTATCTACAGGTATTCAGAACTAAGACAAATAGAATATTCAGAATTAATAGAACGTTGTTTTCTTTTATTTCGTTTTAATTGTCATTTTGTGATATTGAAGTTAACAGCAGGTTTTAATGTTTAGATTTCTTGTAGTCTATATAAATAAAAAGATGTGGTCACATATATGTAGGAAAGATATTTATGAAGTCATTAATATGGATAGTATAGGTATTTATATAAAATCTTTAGTGCATGGTGCTAGATTTAATAAAAAATCTACACGTTGTCCTTAGATATTATACTTTACTAATAATAATACATCACACTGAAATTAACTAATTATAAAATAATTTACTAACACTTTGACTAATAGTTTCCTTCACATTTCCAATATAAACATTTAGTTTATCTGTGAGTAAATTAAAATTGAGATCCACTAGATACTGCATTTCTCCTAAAGAAGCGTACATTGGGAAAACTGGAAGAGGCGGCGATTCTAGATTTAATTCTTCATTTTTGATCCATTCATACCACGTGTAATTCCGAAGGGATGGATCGGCCCTTGGGTCCGATTGTGGTTGACGCCTAGCCTTCAACTCAGTCCATAAGGTCCGCAATCGAAGGGACATACGACGTACAACATCCGGAAACATAGTCCATAAGTCATTGCTCTCTGTGGGGTCTGAGCTTATATTAAATAGACATCCCTTAGCTGTGAAAGAAACAATATATAATTTGTATTTATAAAAAAAAGAATGCTATTCCTATGTGAACACTCTAATGTGCATCACCCTATATGAGAAAATAAGTGCTTTATTTTTTTTTATTTGACAAGCGCTCGGTTATTTATTTTACAGCCTGTGACTTGTTTATAAGTTGTTCGAGATTGATCTCTTTGGCGATTGTAACTTTAACTAACAATATCCACATCTCTAATTCAAAGCACTTTTAGTCCCTAGGAATAAAAACGCTATTTTGGTCCTTGAAAATATGAACAAACTAGCTCTTTTCGAACAGATGAGATGCAAACTTTTTTTTTAATGTATACATACATAATCGTACCTTTTGTTGGTAAACAAAATGCCTTCTCTTTACTGTTTTGATTATATAGTGTCAAATTCAAATCGGCTCTTCTATCAGAAATGGATATTACATCCAAAGGCAATTGTAATATTTCCTTAAACACTCGGGCTGCTTCAGAGGCTAATAAAATATCATCGTAAAAAATCAAAGACTCCTTCATGGATCTCCCTCGTTTAAATTCATTCCCATAATGTCGACTTAAGTCTGGATTAACATCGCCAATGATTATTTTGAAATCACCTTCTCTGAATGCTGCCCATCCGTTTAGATCGTCTATTGTTATTAATGCATTTCTGCGTTTAGGGATTAAGTTATTAATTAGAACAGACCATTGATTGATACCATCTATATTATTGTTTACTCTTCCCCCTGCAGCAGAAACTAATGTAGGAAGCCAATCAGTTGCATGAATGAGACCATGGTGGATTCTCGGCATTATGGCAGCGTGCCACACTAATCCTATAGAACGCACTCCTCCTTCCCACGGAGAACCTTTTGTGCCACGCAATGGGTAATTTGATCCGAAATTCTTCTTTGCACCTAAAGTCGGAGCGCCGTTATCAGAAACGAAAACGATAATTGTATTTTGTAGAATATCCCTTTCAGCGAGCACTGCTATGATATTACCAACGCTATTGTCCAAAGTTGTGACTAATCCTGCAACGATAATACAAAAAAGTAACTATGACAAAAATTTAATTTTATGTTTTTATTTTTTAAGAATTTAACTGCTAGATGTTTAAATCTAAAGAAAAGTTTTACTAGAAAAAAATCCACGCGGACCAGGCAGCAGACGGAACTCGAACCCGCACCCTTCGCGATCCGAGCGAATGCACTGACCAATTACGCTACCGCGGCCCTGATGTCCGTGTCGAAAAGTTTCTAGCCTTAAGCTGCAAGGAAAGGATATTTTTTCTAGTAAAACTTTTCTTTAAAAATTAAATGGGTTGTTTTCACATAGAAATACTGCTTCTTTGCATTGCACTGATCTAGTTGCGACGAAGTTTAGGGTTAAGTGGATATTTAATTTCCTGATAAATTGATGAGCGTGTAAGTATTAAAATCTGTATATTTTATAAATTACCTGCGTATAATCTTCTGGCAGAATGTACGATGTGTTTGTTTGCCTCCACGGAATCCAAAGGCGGTTGTAACGATACCAATCCTCCACCGATATGAGGCGTGGCATGTGACAGATGCAAGTACAGTGGTACCGACGTATTATGGTTTCTAATAACTAAACATTAATATGGTAAATAAAGAAAAACAATACAAATTTTTAGGGCGTTCGAAACAAGTCCTTGGTCACTTAAAAACAATCTATGCTTACCATCTACAGCTTTATCAGTGATTATGTCAGTAAGATATCCGCTCTTATCCTCAACTGCGTCTAAATTTTCAAAAAAGTCCAACCCATAGAATGATGTTCCATTCAGCTCCTGCAAATATATGTAACATAATTTAATAATACCTTAGGCGCAAACGCCTTAATGATGGTTAAATTCACTGAGTAAATTGAAATTTGTATGGTTTGACACTTTTTCGCTTGGTGAAAGCGAATTGTTCCGTCCTAATAAGATGATCCTCAAGTGAAGATTAGTCTAATCGCATACCAACCTCTACTGTGTTGTAAGTGAGGTAATCCACAGAGTCACCAGTGAAGCCGTAGAAAGAATCGAAGCCTCTGTTGGTCGGAAGATAGTGTGCCCTAGATTTTCCAACGCCCCACTTTCCAACTAAATGTGTCTTGTAACCCAACTCACGAAGGCGCACGGGTAACAACAGCTCTGACACTGGAATGCCTCTGTCTTCAGATGCCCTTATTGACACACCTTGCAATCCTGAAATTCGGCATTTCGCAGCTAAATTAATCTTTATGTCTTTATTAAAAATTCAAACATGCAGTTACAACAAATATTGAACAGATTTCATTGTTGTTTACATAATCAGACTCAATTTCTGTGTTTTTACAATTCAAGTGCTCACATAGGTATCAATACTTTATATTAGAAGACCTATAATGGAATGCACGTCATATAAATATATGTAGTGATTACTGTAGTATAAAATGTTACGTTTTTTGAATTCAAAGAACAAATTAAAATAAAGTTCTTTTGTAACCCTAAGTTTTTGCCTGTTATATTTTAATATTATTTCCTTAAGCATAATGTTTTGATAAGATTATAAAAGATAATTTAAACTCATTTTATTTATTTGTCTATACAATTAAGATCGTGAGTCTGAACTGGTGATTATAGATAATGTCATCCTGACAATTGAGGATTGAAATTCCAAACAATATCTTAAAACCGAAAAAAATATTTTAAGTAAAGTAAAAGGCTTTATATTCTTGAGCATTAATTCATAAACGTAAGCAACGCAATTTAATTCTCTCTATACTTTGGATGCTAACTAAATTACAATTAACTTTAATAACAAGAAAAGTTTAATATTAAAATATCTCGGAACTGGTTACAGTCGTTAAAAACCGTTTTCATTCATCTCTAGCGAGCTACAAACATTTAAATAAAAATGTTAATTCATAAAATGTTATTAAAACCTTAAGGATGTTTCATTTTTTTTAATAAGCACGCAACAATTTCCTATATTTAATGTTAACCTCTGGACCTCATAAACTTGATTTACTGCCTACTTGTGGTATTGTTATCGAGACAAACATACACTAAGCCTTTGAAATATGTATCTATTAGTGTTATTTTAACATTTATCGTTGTTTTATGACACTGTTCTTGTAAGTTTCAAAATAATAACCGCATCTTAAAACCACGAATAACAATGTAAACATAGGATTTAAAAGGATTTCATTTCCTCATTTCATTTATATAAAACTAAACTTCAAACGTACCCATACGCATGGGGTATTTGCCTGTAAACAAGGCCGACCGCGACGCGGATCCTTCAGAATCCGTGTAGTACTGGTCCAGTATAACTCCCTGGTACGCCAGCGTGTCGATATTGGGGGTCATTATTTCATCGGAACCGTGGTAACTCACGTCATCCCAACCCTGAAAAATACTTCATTTTAAATCATTAATTATATTTTTGAAGAGCTTAATGGCGGTTAATGCGTTCCACATTGATGATTAAGCAACTCTCATGATGGCTGATGATAAAAAGTTAAATATCTGGAGCTCCTCCGTGATTTGAACAGTTAATTTGAGGGTTCTGATGAAGGATTGTAATCGTTCACACGCATACTATGTAAACTGAGCCACACTGGGTCCTGGTGGTTCCGCTAGCATCTGCAATCGTAAGCACATACACATCTATCTGCACTTAGTCCGCGGGCTCATTCAAGGCCCCAGCATAGCAGTACGGACATTAAAAGCTGTAGATTTAATCTTTATGTTTTTATTTATTTTTAAGCATTTAACTGCTAGATGTTTAAATCTAAAGAAAAGTTTACTAGAAAAAAATCCACGCGGACCAGGTCCGCTGCCTGGTCCGCGTGGATTTTTTTTCTAGTAAACTTTTCTTTAGATTTTATCTTTCCATGCTAAACTGAACCAAGAGTGAAGGAAATAGTGCTACCCTGCAGACATTAAACTGTCTACCAAAGAACTAAACTTTATTTATACCAAGCCGAGCTGTCGCGTCCAATCACTAAAATAGCTGATGCTGCACCAGAACAAACATAGCAGGAGAATCATCCTTACCTTCAGACATGTTTGTTACCATAATTTATAAGTTCTCGCAACACTGACTTTTACAAAGACTATTTCAAAATAGAAACTTCTATCTTTAACAAAAGACGGTCAGCGAATATGGCTGTTGCAGAAGCTATTGTAGCCGGGCAACTTGCAACTTGTTGCTTTTGCTAGGTTAGTTTGCTATAACAATTAAGGCTCACTCCATGTTAAATGAGGCGTTACTGAGGTGTGACTATTGACCTAACTTAAATATAAAAAATCGAACGATCTTTTATACTCTAATCCAACTCTAAAAACTTTGTAATAAAACTATGAATGAAAAGATTAGTTAATTGGATTTCTCTCAAAAATGTTTATAAAGTGCGTTTAAAGAAATCTAGTTCTGAGTGACAGCTATATTTATCAATAAAATGTTTTGCTTTAAGGATCAAGGAAAAAAAAATACATACCAAATCATCAGCTACAATAAACACTATATTCGGTCGTTGTATTTCAGTGGCAGCAGCTCGTGTCCACAACAGACAACTGTAAAAATACACTAAAGAATTGAGGACCTCCTCGTTTTTAGAATCAGTTAAAATTACTCCAACATTGTATTACCTAATGTTGAGTGATACAAAATTCAGGTTACGCTCGCTTCACACACTTTTTTCGGGTCGCTACACTAGCCTAACCTAATTTACTAAACTTACGCACGAGGTAACATAATATACGCTGCCCGTAGAAGACGAAAAGACAACAAAAACAATTCAATACAACTAAACAACTTTCACATTCCATAATAATGGAACCTTATTAAACTTTGTCAGTTTCGCACTGCACTTTCTTGACATTTATATTCAAGGCGTTAATCCCACAATGTGTTACTCACAAAAACAATTCAGGTTTCTTAGATTAAGTTTAATCCACAATTAATAAATAAATGCATGTAAACTAAGAAGCTAGGTTACAACAGCCTAATGCCAGAATCTACAAAACATACACGTATATATCCTGTTCTCATAGTATATTTATATCAGTGGTACAACTTAGAAAGTGACTGACACAATTCTGCCTTCCGCCACCTATATTCAACACACAAAAAAAGATCAACGTTGCGTTATATTATAAATGTCCCTATTATATTCACCTTAACGGTAACAGCCACATGATTAAAACCCGTTCATATGCGTTATGACTTCGGTTGTGGAAGTAAGAATTAGAACTACTTTTATTAATCGGAACGGAAAGCCAGAAAAAAACATTTGTAGATATAGGATGTTATCAACAATATTTCTGTTATTTGAGATCATCATTTCTCCTAAACTCTCCGTTTCGTACATGATGTGAGTGGCGCATTTTCAAAATTATGTGGGCCCTCCATTATGATTCTTTTGCAGTATTATATCTATGAATAGAGTTGATCTAAAGCTTCGCAAAATTAACTCGGGCTACTTATAAGTTTGTCACCAGACGCAAGAAAAGTCATATAAGTATGAATTTAATTTCAGTTTTTTTTTTTTTGCTTGGTATAGTAATTCCTCGGACTTCTTGAAGCTACGTTCTTGCCACTGGAGTATTTTAGGTCTGGCCTTTAAGTAAAGCACGAATGTAATCGAACCTTAAGTACCCTTAACACGAACCAATATCGAATTCATAACGTTTGCGAGTACGAAATGTCATTGTCAAATGTGTACTGATTTTTACTTCTCGTTACGTCCGTTATGGCGCTGCTGTTCAAGTTTCCATACAAAATTTGAGATTGACATTTCGGACTCGCAAACGTAATGAATTCGATATTGACCTGATCCTTAGCACGAATGGTTCGTGCTAAGGATCAGGTCACCTCTTTTTCGTTTTCGTCCCAGCTCCGCGAGTCTGATTTACTGTACCCTTAGTATGAACCAATATCGAATTCATTACGTTTGCGAGTCCGAAATGTCAATCTCAAATTTTGTATGGAAACTTGAACAGCAGCGTCATAACGGACCTCTTGATAACTTTTTGTACCAAAAAACTTGTGTGGCGGGTCGATCTGCCATTTGCAGTACTAATCAAATGATTATAACTCTTTTTTTCGAATACCTCAAGTCTCTCAACTTGTACCAATTCGTTTTGGCGCCTATTTAGTACTTCGGAGTCTATAAAATAGAGAAAATTAAAGAAATCCTCAAATTTTTGAAGACCTTTATTATCTCTTTTGATCATCCTATATAGTAAATGTACAAGTTTACATTTATTCGTTCCCGAGGCTACGTCAAACGAAATGAAATCATACCAAGCTACACCTGTTTAAACATAAAATTATTACCGATATTATTCACAAGTCTCATACAAATTTACGGAACAAACACATGCAATAACAATAGTCCCACTTAGCACGGAGAACTAAAGCCATTAATAGAGACTGATCAATTTTAATTGGTTTATTATTAAATTTGAGATCCGAATCCACACTAACATTATAAATGCAAAATTAGCTGTGTCTGTCTGAAGTAATTAAAGCGAGACAATTAGAAACAATACAATTCTAAACGCTTTAATAAATTATTCAGATGATAACGAGTCTTGACTACGCTAAGTCGACCTTTTTTTATACTTTTTATGTATTTTTGATAGCTCTATTTTTCTATTGTTGTATTTTGTTTCTTTTTATTATACATCATTGTCTCGAAGAAGATAGTTTTATTTCAGCTTTTTTCATACGTTTTCAACAACGAGTAGTTTAATAAATAAATATTTTCCATTTGCTATGATTTGAATTTGAATAATCGTTATTATTTATTTATAACAATGATTATACAACATCAATAAAAATATCGATAGTTTGCAGCTGAGTAAGCTAGGCAGACGCAGTCAAAATAATTGCCGGTTTAATGTTTTTAACCGACTTTAAAAAAGGAGGATGTTCTCAATTCCGTCGGTACCTATGTTTTTTTTTCTTATTTGTGAATGCGATTACTCCAACGTTTCTGATGAGATTTACGTGGTTCTTTTTTATCCAATATGAAATAGCTGCCATTTGGTTCCATAAAAGTTCAATTCAGTTTGACATAGTAGTTTTTTTTTAAGTATGTTTGTTAACTTGGACGATACAATTTTCACGATACTTTGTTTATATTACACGATCACTTAAAGATTTCTGATCCAATTTGAGTGATTCTTTTTTTTTATATATAGGAAATACTTGAAAATATTTAGTTTAAATCGATAGTTTTCAATTATGAGCATTTTTGTTTATTATTCACTTGAACGATGGAATTTTCACTAAAATGGTTGAAGTCGTTTTTTTTGTATAAAAATAATCCATATTTCTTTTCAGTGCTTGAGAAGGTACTGGAACGTAAGGTACGAAAAAAAATCGACACCTTAGGAATGTACTGGATGTACTGGACTGTATGTACTGGACTGGTACTGGACGGAGAATAATAATAATAATAAATTCATTTATTTGCATCACAAATTAATACAATTAATAATAAGCAGACATAAATGATTATAAGTTTAACAGTTCTTAAATAACTAGTATGAACTACAATCATTAGTGAGTGACAGTGATGCAAATAGGCAGAAGCTCAGCAGTGTTTTTGCCTTAATAGACAAAATGCTGATTTTCAGCAACTGCCCGTAGGAAGCGCGAGGATGTAGGTATGCTGCAAAGCTGGCATTGTAATTCGCTAGTCCCACACAAACACAACACACGAACATCGTTTACTCCATTATTAATTTACCTAGCAATATTCGTTAATAAAAAATTCTAAATAATAATAAATAAATGTATATAATTAATCATTAAAAAACAAAATTGTGTAGACAATATTAAATAAAAATGTGTAAGTAATAATATAAAATATAAATTTTAATTTGAATGTCAAGAAGATTGAATGCTAACAGAAGAACCTCCACCAAAACGACAATTAGTGCGTATGCCTAAAGTTTGCAAATTCAGTAAGACTAATTTAATTACGTGTCTTATAGAAGGAGGTAAATCATTCCAACATTTAGTCGCTTGGTGGCGGAAACTACCTGTAAATGCCACTGTCTTATGTTTTTGAGTCGCCAATATCGGACGTATTGATCTGCAAACACCTGGTCCATATCGAGAATGGAAGGTACGAAACTGTAACTTTTTGTAAAGGTATTCCGGGTTCTTAAATTTTAACAGATCAAACATAAGTACTGCCCTATGCAGATGCCTGCGTGACTCCATATTCAATAATGAGGCGCTATTAAGAAATGATGACACGTGGGTTCGAGGAGGGATATTAAAACAAAAGCAACCACAAGCATTTTGAACTCGCTGGATAAGCCTTTGAGTACTAGTAAGCAAACGAGGACCATATACTAGATCCCCATAATTCAGTACCGATAAAACCACTGACTCACATAAAACGATCCGCGTTTGTTCTGTAAGGAAATTCCGAATTTTATATAAAGTTTTTAACCTATAAAAGCAACTCCTTACAACACCCAAAACATGTTTCTCAAAACGTAGCTTATTGTCGAACACTATACCCAAGTTCCTGGCTTCGCTTACATGTTCAATATCTGACCCCAACACTCGAAGCGTAGGATTACAACTAGCGAGTCTTTCAGTCTGTTGTTTAGTACCGATAATCATAAATTTAGATTTTGAAGGATTCAAGACCAACGCATTATCAGTCGACCATGCAGCTATGGCATCCAGATCTTGATTCACCTCATGCAAGGCATCGTTTATTTTATCTGGGGTTGTTGATATGTATAGCTGAACATCGTCAGCATAACAGTGATACTTACAATGTTTAATCGCCAAGGGGAAATCCGCACTGTAAATAATAAATAAGAGAGGCCCCAGTATGGAACCTTGGGGAACTCCACGATCTATCACCCTAGGTTGAGATGTTAGTACCGATCCATTTTCCTTACGCAATTTAACCGACTGATACCGGTCACTGAGATAGCTGTCAAAGAACCGCAATGCATGAGGATCAAACCGTAAAATGTCAATTTAGATAAGAGTAACGGTATATTTATACTCTCAAACGCGCGAGAAAAATCAAGAAGCGTCAATATAGTAGCCCGACCCTCATCCATGTCGGCAAGTATGTTGTCGGTTACATCAAGAAGCGACGTCACAGTGCCACAGCCCTTTCGAAAACCTGACTGATATGATGGTAATATATTATAAGATTCGACAAAGCGCGCAAGCTGATTATAAACTGCCCTCTAGAATTTTTGAAAGAAATGGCAATATACTGATTGGCCTAAGATCTTTCAGTTCATCTGGTGGTTCGACTTTAGGCAATGGTGTCACCAATGCCATTTTCCACTGCGAAGGAACAACGCCAGACAGGATTGCTTTATTTACAATATTAGTGATAATAGACAAGGTCCGTGGAAGCGTGAGCAATACCATGTCTCTATTAATTCTATCGCATCCCATTGCATTTGATTTGATGGATAAGATAAACTTTGAGACTTCTTCTTCAGAAACACAATTTAATTTGAACAAAGGTTGCAGTTCAGTTGCCTCAGTTGCCTCATTAAATCGATGAAATTCAAAAAAAGTCATTTGAGAAAGAGACACTTTTTCATTACCAGGAATTTTCAAAAAATGGCTATTAATTTCATCAGCATCACCAAAGCAATCAGGAAGGCCGTCACTCTTAATAGGATCGACCAATATATTCCCCTTTAGATTCTTCCAAAAGCGCTTACTATTTTTCACATTAGAATTTATCAAATGATTGAAATAGGCTTGATTTTCATTATTAATACTTTTTATTACCAAGTTTTTCAAATCTATGTAATACTGTTTATCTACATCCAACTTAGACTTACGTTATCTGTCATGGGCCCTATCCCGCAAACTAATCATAAACTTAATCATATCGGTTATCCAGGGCAAATTTTGATTTGGTTTGACTCTTGTAGATACAATTGGAGCATGCTTATCCATAAGAGACAGCATGAGTGTATTGAATTTGTGAACCATACTATCAACCGTAGGCTGCTCAGAAACAGACTCCCAATCGAGCAAGTCAAGATCGTGATTAAATCGCTCGAGATTAATGCGCTTGAGGGGTCTGTAAGTAACAAAACGCGGAGACGGTTTGGCCTTTTTTAACAACAGTGAGACACTAACTATTGCGTGACCAAAAGGGGGTGAGATATTAGAAACAGTGACATCGCGAATGCTGCAATTTGTGCACACCACATCTAGTAAAGTATCAGAATTTACAGAAAAGTTT